GACAGGGGTGTCCTTTATCGCCATTGTTGTTTGTTTTAACATTGGAAATATTATTGATCAAAATTCGAGAGTCTCAGGAAATTAAAGGAATATATGTTAATAAAAAAGAATATAAGTTGAGAGCTTTTGCGGATGACTTGGTTGTTACTTTGTCGCAACCTGATTATTCTGTAGTAAACTTATTACAGTTGATTCATCATTATGGTTTGGTTTCGGGTTTTAAGATTAACGTAAATAAGACTAAAATTTTACCTAAAAATATGTCGAGTCAGGAGAAGCAGATTTTGGTCAACTTGACGGGTTTTGAGATTGTTAATAAGGTAAAATATTTGGGGGTGATGCTGTCTGTTTCTAATGCAAAATTATTTAAAAATAATTATGAAAGGTTGTGGGTCAGGGTACAGAAGGACTTGAAGAATTGGGAAAAGTTGCAATTATCCCTCATGGGAAGAATTGCAGTGATAAAAATGAATATTCTACCCAAGTTTCTTTTTTTGTTTCAAATGTTACCAATTTTGAAAAATGAGATTAATTTAAATGAGTGGCAGAAGGGTCTCAACAAATTTATTTGGGCAGGGAAAAAACCAAGGGTTAAGTTTAAAATTATGCAAGACTTCCGTGAGAGGGGTGGACTTAAGGTACCAAATTTGAAATTATATTATGATGCGGTGGTTTTAACATTAATTAGTGATTGGGTAAATTTGACAAATTCTGAGATACTTTACTTAGAGGGATGGGATTTACTTTATGGGTGGCATGCCTATTTAATATTTAATAAAAAAATAGATTGGGCTTTTAAATCTCATATTTTAAGAATTTCTTTACTTAGGATTTGGAGAAAATATTATAAAAGTGATTTTAAAGTACCATTATGGGCTATACCTTGGCATGCGATAGAAGGAATAAAAAGAGGGGTTAAAATGGATATGGTGTCTTATAGACAGTTACTTAAATGGGATGGACAAAACTGGCAATTAAAATCACAGGAAGAGTTAGCACAAGAAAATTTTACTTATTCTTGGTTCCAATATAGGCAATTATTAGATAGATGGAAGATGGATTGTAAGGTGGGTTTTCTTAGAGAAGATGAAAATCTTATTAAGCAACTGAAGGATCAAAGACAAACCCACATTAAGAGAATTTATGGGGTTTTAGTTGAATTGGACTCAGAAACGGAACTAATTAAAGATTGTATGATTAGATGGGCGCAGAATTTGGTGAGCCAGTTTCATTGGACACCTGGGAAACTATTTGGGTGAGAAATGTCAAATTTACTCAAGCACAGAACTTAAGGGAGAATTTTTATAAAATGTTTTATAGATGGCACCTTGATCCACAAAAAATGTCTTATATGTATCCTGACGTGCAACCCAAATGTTGGAGATGTGGTTATAAGGAGGCTTCTTATTATCATATTTGGTGGTCATGCAGAGAGATAAAAGCATTTTGGATTAAAATATGGTGGAATATCCAGAGAATTTTTAGAAGGAGGGTAAAATTTACTCCGCAATTATTTTTGTTAGGTATTGTTACAGATTGTGATACAAAGGAGGTTGTATTGATGTTAAACTTGATCACAGCCGCTAGGCTGTTAGTAGGACAATACTGGAAGAAGGAATCTTTGCCTACATTGCAGGAATGGTTTCTTAAAGTAGCTTATCTGGCAGAAATGGCAAAGATTTCGGCTTTCTTAAAGCAACAAACGCAAGAGAAGTTTTTTGCTGTTTGGGATAAATGGATAAAATTTATACAATTTAGATTGGGTATACAAAAATATTATATAGTTTTTTCATAAGTTTTATTTTCATATATATTATAGATAATTTTTTATATATATAAATATAAAGTTTTTAATTTAATTTTTATTTTTATTTTTTAAGCCTATATTCTGCTCTGGGAAGCTCAGGGGGGGGGGAAGGGAGGGTTTTTTTTTTTTGTGAGGGTTGGGGGATGGGGTTTTTTTTTTTTAATATATGTATTGTTTAGTTTTATTTTTCTGTATATGTTGTCTCTTGTTTTGTATTATTTTTCCTTTTTTGTAAAATTTATAAAACTTTCAATAAAAAAAAAAAAAAAATCAACAACAACAAAAAAAAGAGTCTAAAATAAATGGAATGCCAAATAGGAAAAACCGTAACACAAAAAAGTCCAGGTTCTTGGGCTGTGCCTATCAAAGCCACCTGAAAATGACAAATATATGCCAGATGAAATATGCGTAAATAAAACTAGTGACAAAACAAAACTGATTGCTATTTCTCTCCTGAATGATTTATTGTTGAAAGAATATGTGTCCAAAGGAAAAGCCTCAGACTTCAGATTCTACAAAATTCAATGGATGAGGCAGGGAAATGCTTTGATTAAGGCACTGCCTTGAAGAATTCTGAACTGGGAAATTAGATATTTGTAAGTAACATATTCAGATGGCTCAATTTGTCTGTACCTTCAAGTATCAGAATTTTGCAAGCCAGTTTCCCTGTCATGCTCTTTGGAAGTGGTCTTTTAAGCAGCAAGACAGAAAGAGCACTGATACTTTTGAACTTCATTTTTGAAGAAAACTCCCAAGAATACCATGAATAATCAAGAAAACAAATAAATGGATCATCAAATAAATGAACTCAAGGCAAAAAATGACCAGGCTCAAATGATCCTACTTAGGAGAACTTTTGTGAAGACCTAGCTTTCTGGGAAAGGTGAAAAAGAAGACAACATCCAGCAGCAACTATGAATATATCATTGGAAGATCTGAAAGATCAGGTTGGAGACAGTCTAACCAGGTAGGAGAGTGTCCTGGAGAAGATTTATCTAAGTGGTTCCCTAAAAGTTGACACCAACTTGATGGCACATTATCAGATAACAGATATTCTCACCTATGCATTATGTTGCCCAAAGTGTGAGAATGACAAAGCTGCTGTTATCATTGATTGTACTGGGAGATTGTAGTTTTAAGGAACTGAGGAGAGTTCAGGAGCCACAAGACTGAGATTGGCAGGTATTCTAGTCCATAGGGAGCTGTTCTGCCCTCATCAAATTATAGCATATCAGATCACAAAAAAACAAAACAAAATTGTGCTCTAATGAAAAAAGAGAGAAGACAATATAACATTCTGTCTTGATAGAGGTTGATTGAATACTGTTCCCAAAGCTTTTGTTAATTCTACCAATCCGGTCATTTGTAATTGCCTTTGGGGCTGGACTGGCTGTGATTAGGGACAACTCATCAAAGGGAAGCTCTTTATCTTTCTCATAATAACATGTGTGAGTTTCTCCAGCTGTAGACCTTTCAAGCCTTGCTTCAAGGGGGAACTCTTGATATCATATAGCCAATGAAACATTGGCATCCCAACCAAAGGAACAGGGCAGAGCTTTAAATGGAAGTCAAATATAAGAAAAATGAAAATAAGGTCAAAGTAGAAGATCAGGAGAATTAAAGGAGAATCAAGGTACGGAGCTTGAGCAATTGTTAATCACAGGATAAAACAGACTCAAAATATGCAGTAAAGAACAAGAGTCACTCTGAAAGTGAGATGGGCAATCTCCAAAAATAAATAAATAAGAAAGAAAAAAGAGAAAGAAAAAGAAGGAAGAAAGAAAGAAAGCGAGCATTCAGGAGAAGAAAAGAGAAGCTCAGCTCTTGGATGAAAAGGAATCTTTATTTTCTCATTCAAAAGGAAGTATGTGGCTCCCTGTCTCCATGTAGTGCCATCTGCTACCTATCACAGATTGCAAATGGGGAAAGAAAATCTTGGGCTGAAAAGGTTGCAAGCCAAGAAAAGAGGTTGTTACTGCTTTAACTGAGTGGTGGGGCCTTTAATCTTTTTAATAGAAGTCAGTCCCATCCAGGTCAAAGAGGTCATGTTTCTATTCTACATCAACCAAGCCTGTGATAGAATTCACAAACTGGAGTGGGATGCACAAGAAGCCAGGAGAGGAAAGGTCATGGCAAACAGGTTGGACTCAAGTCCCAAGAAGCAAGTAGGCCTGTTTGTCCCAGACGTTATGTGCTCTTGGCCACTTTCCTTTGTGACCAGAGGCAAGCTCACCTGACCAATAATCAGCCAAGACACAATGAAGATCTTTTGTTTCATTTATTGCAATAAGTGGGGAGAGAAGCTATCAAAGCTTGGTTCTCTCCAAAGTTCTAACCCAAAATATTTCCTTCTTTATACAACCCTTTCCTGGCTGCCACATCCCTCCTCTTTCCCCATTGGCTGAGGTACTGTGAGATTACACTCTTTCCAACCGCCTCTTACCCATTTCCTGCTACACATAAGTCATACATCACATGTACATTAATAATATAAAATATTAGACATATTTTGAGCTCTGATATTTATAGCCTTTTTTAGAACAATAGATTCTTTCCTGTTTTTCAATTAAGTTTCCCTGGCTAGCCATTTCCTCTTACAGCTATTTTTATAATTTGTATTCATCCTTTTCCCACTTAAGACCCAGCTAATTTTTGCTTAAATGTTTATCTTACATCCTCCCTTTATGCTAACCTTTCCTGGTTCCCATCTATCGTAGTTTTTTTGGTAAGCTTATTTGTCCAGGCAGTAAATTTCTACTGCAGCAAATTCAATTTTAGTTTTTTCTTTCAATATTAAATTTTGAAGACCTCTCACTTGTTGAAGGAAAAATCTTCATCAGGTCCTAGCCAGAAATAAACAATATGGCAACTGCTTTAGAAAGAAGGTTGTAGTTTATTGAAGATGAGAGCCAGACAGAAAGATGGCTCTGGAAAAAAAAAAAAAAAGTGACCACATGTATCAAGGAGTGAGTTTTTATATCTTCTGGGGCTCTCTGAGGCTTTGTATTTCCCGTGTCATGTACTTTGACCTGAGTCTGAGTATGCCTTTCTGATATTCTGATGGGATGGGTTAATCCTATTATGTTTCCTGTCCTTAGAATTTGGGTGGTGTATGTAGATTTTAACGGTCTTTGTCTTCCTAATTTCTTCAGTTTCTAGCTGGAAGGCTCCAACCTTCCTGAATGGATTATTACATCTACATTTCTAAAAGCTGGTGTCTGCTGAGTTGTCTGGCTGGGTTGGGGGAGAAGTTTCTTGACTGCTGCTTCTTCCTGGACTGAGAAACGGGGCCTAGAATAGGATTAGAACTCAGGGTCTCCTGGTTGGTAGAAAGGAGACTCGAAGCGCTTTCCCAACCTGTCGCTGGGCTGGAGCTCAGGAGTTTGTTTTGGAGAAGATGGCCAAATAACTCCCCTTCAAAGGTTGGGCAAATCTGCAGCTGGATCTCCCGTTAGACAGAACCTGTCTCCAGGATCGGGATCTCCAGGTCTCTTTACATTCCACACGGACCGGAATCTTGAAATCCAGCAGGGTGGACACGTGTGCAAGAGGCGAGGGGGTGATCGCCTGGAGATTTGCTCACTCACAGAGGAGAGAGGCGGAAGCTTTGCTCGGAATCTGAATTCTGCCCAACCGCCTAGGATTATAACTCTGTTCATGCATCGATCAGCAAGCGGGGATCCTTGCAAGCGGAGCAGAGGAAGCGAGATTGTTGCATAAAAGACGCCCATGCCTCTTCCCACCGATCGCTCCCCCACCCCTTCCACGGAGCCTTCCGCCCGGCCCCTTCGTTCACTCCCGCCTCTTTCCCGTCGTCCCCTTGGCCGTGAGCGGCGAGTATGTTTCTGCGGCTACTGTTGGCAAGAGCCCGGTGCCCGCTGGTCCCCTGTCCCCCGCGCGGTATCCTCCTCCTTGCCGCCTCCATGGCCACCGGCACGCGCGCCACCGCTCGGCAGGTAGGGCTTGAGCACGCCGTCGGGGTTCCGGGGGACCGGAGCGGAAGGGAGAGGCGGGCGTCAAGCCCTCGCGACGCCCCGTGGAGCCTCCGGGCGGCAGATGCTCCGTGGCGCTGCGTCGCGGACACCTTGTCCTTCCCTGGCCCCTCTGATCTTTGCAGCTGAGCCGGAGATTTGGCCGCCCCAGCACTTGGAGTGCTGACTGGCCGGCTGCGGAGCTAGCGAGGGAAGGGACTAGAGTGGTTCGCGTTTGCCGGTGATACTGTCCCAAGATCAAGCCCTCTGCTGGAGACCCCGAGGCCCTGCTGCACGAATGCCCCGGATCTGATTTTTTTGCGGGGAAAAAAGACGCCTTTAAGTGCAGCTTGGTTGCCCCCGATCATGACGCGGTTAATGTGTTCCCAAGGGACTCAGAAGCACTTTGCGGATCCCTTTAGTAATTTCCTGCTTCCAAGATGTTTTGTGGAAATAGAACGGCGCAGTAGGAATATTTTATTTGTAATGTTATACGTATTTCTGTGCCATGAAAGTCTGTTCCCCTTGGAAGGAATGGCTTAAAGCCCCAGCGGTTTTAACTTTCAATACTTCTAAACGGGGGTCACAATAACATGCACCGAGAATTCATTGAACTTATTTAAACCTACCTTGCATTGTTGATAGAACATACCATTTCAGAAAAGTGGGTATCCAGCTTCTCCTTAAAAGCCTCCTGGGATGGGTTATACACAACTTCTGAAGGCAAGGCATTCCACTGGTTAATTGTTCTCACCTAGGAAATTTCTTCTTAGTTCTAGATTGCTTCTCTCCTTGAGTAGTTTCCCTTCATTGTTTCTTGTCTTGCCTTCTGGCTTTAGAAAATAGGTTGACCCTTCATCTTTGTGGCAGCCCTATCGTGTCTCTCCTAGTCCTTTTCACTAGGCCCGTGGTGGCGAACCTATGGCACGCATGCCACAGAGCCGTTCCTGTCTCCCTCCTCTTTGTGCATGCGCAGCTTTTTTCTATAAAAACTAAGGAAGTTTCGGTTTTGGGACACATGGCAGGAAGTGACAGAGAACAAGCGGCAGAAAGCAAGAGAGAGAACAAGCAAAAGTGGTAAGTTTCATCTCTGTCCTGCCGCTGAGCTTCCTCTGCTTGGCCACCGGACACCCCAGTGGCCCCAGAACACCCTGCCCGCATTTCCTGCAATTTCACAGCTGGCCCAGCGGCTAAAAAACACCCAGCGGCCGCTGGCACTTCTCATAATTTTGCAGCCGGCCTCCTCTCGTGCAGCCCGCCCTGCACCCTCTCCTCCTGCCACTGATCGCAGCGGACAAGCCGGGGGCAACCGGGGAAGGCCAAGGCCAAAGAGCCCGGCCCAGCAGCTAGAAAACACCCCGCGGCCATTGGCATTTCCCATAAATTTGCAGCTGGCTTCCCCTCGTGCAGCCCGCCCCACGCCCTCTCCGCCTGCCTAATACTGGCCCAAATCTTCAGAGATCGCTCTCAAACCATCCTGACCTGCCAGGAACAATACTAGAGGGAGGGAGAGAGCGACCTGACGAGTGGACAAACACACGTGTTCCCGGGCCCACGTACTTTCCACAGCCAAGTTCTTCCCTTCCTATCCCTACCAAGGCACAACCTGCTCCAGGCACCTGTCGCCCTTAGAGCACGGGCTCCTCCCCAGCCGACTGGCTCAGCCTCCTCCAGTCTGTCCTTCCTCACCTGTCCCGCGGGTCAACCCAGCTGGTGGTTTTGATGGTGTGGTCGATGTCATAGTCACGACCTTCCTTCCAGCCTTTGGGCGAAGGCAGCTCCTGCCGGGGCATTTTTCCTGGCAGCAGGCGCAGCAGCAGAGAGACAGACCGAGGCCGGAGGCGGTGGCCACCCCATGCAAAGGGTTCAGCAACCCCCCACCCAGCCCAGCAGCTGGCACAGCGGGCTGGGGCGAGGGGTTGCGGCGAACAAGGAAACCGGAGCCAGGCAGTCGACCAGGCGGGAGTCTCGCATCCTCAGCCGCTCAGGGAGTAAGGAGAAGCGGCGCATGCGGGGGAAGAAGAGCTTTCTGAATGTTGCAGGAAACGCGACAGCCCAGGCAAGCCGGGCTGGCTGCCTGCCATCCGTCCATCCTCTTCTAATAAGCGAGCCGGTCGCCTCTCCACCGCTTCTCTCTCTCTCTTCAGCAAGAGACCCCCGAAGCCAGAGAAGGGGGCAGAGCTACGTTGCCACGGAGCCTGGTGCCTAGAGAGGTCGAGCCCACTTATTTTACCATGCTTTTGCTTCCAGCGAAGTAGAACCGTCAGCTTAGCCAAGGCTCCGGTGCCAAGCACTGCCCACCTCCTCCTGGTTGAGGCAGGGCAGGGGAAAGGAGGAGGAGGAGGAGCCGCTGCAGCTTTTGACTGTGGGTTAGGCAGGTTAAGAGAAGCCAACCTGATAGCAGAGGGTAGGTGCACTCCCACGTGCTATTAACTTTGTTAGCAAATGGGAGGGTTGGGGGGTGATCAAAGTTGCTTCATTTATTCATTCATTTATTGCACAATAAAATTATTTGAAACCAACATTTTGTGCTATTCTAATGCACAACTGCACAAATATGCATGTAATCTCTGAGGAGGCTATCACATTTGGGCTTCAAAAATTTGGTTAAAGCATTCGTGTTTGCTGATATTTATTTCCTTTTATAAACTGCTTTGATTCTTCCATTTATTGTTTAAAGTGGTTTAATACTTCCATTTATTTCCTTTTATTCCCTTAAACTAGTTTGAATCTTCCATTTGTTGCCATTTATTCTCTTAAAACTGATTTAATTGTTTTGTTGATTTCTGATCCACGAAACCTATAACCTCCATGCCATTTCTCACTCTTTTTATTCCTTTCTGCTTTGCTTTTTATTCCCTCTCTTTCATATATTTTCTTTCATCTTCACTGAAAGAAAATCCCTCCAGGTCCCCACTATAATCTATGGTTCAAATGAAAGCAGCCTGTTTTTATTTATTATTTACTAACTTTCTGTAAATTTTGGTCCCACATTTAAAGGCAGGGTAAACATGCATTAAAATACATGCGGCGGCGGCACAGCATTAATGGTGGCCGGGGCTGTCTTTCTTGCCACGCCCACTTGGCCACCACACCCACTTGGCCACGCGCCCGGCACCCAGCAATGTATAAGTGGGTTTCAGGTTGCAGTTTGGGCACTCGGTCTCTAAAAGGTTCGCCACCACTGCACTAGACATATCTAATTCCTGCAACTGCTCTTTATACAGTTTAGCCTCCAGCACCCTAATCATCCTTGTTGCTCTTTTCTGTACTCTTTTCCAGTGTCTCATCATATTTTTATATTGCGGTGACCAAAATAGGATGCAGTATTCCAAGTGTGTTCTTTACTAAGATTTTGTAAAGCGGTACTAATACTTCACATGATCTGGATTCTGTGCCTCTGTTAATGCAGCCTAAGAGTGCATTGGCTTTTTTTGGCTGTAGCCAAACACTGTTGACTCATATTTAAGTGATTGTCCACTAGGTAGGACTCCTGAGATCCCTCTCACAGTTACTGGCATTAACCCATGTTTCATCCAATCTATACCTATACATTTGGTTTTTATTACCTTAGTGTAAAATCTTACTTATCCACATTGAATTTTATTTTGTTGTATAGAGCCCAGTATTCATGTCTGTTGAGATTCTTCTGGATCTTGAGCCTATCTTCTGGGATGTTAACTATTCCTGCTAGCTTAGTGTCATTAGCAAATATGATGAGTTCCCCTTCTATTCCCTCATCTAGATTGTTTATGAAAAATTGGAAGAGTACTGGGCTTAAAACAGAACCCTGGAGTACCCCAGTGTCCAACTCCCACCATGTGAATTTAGTTTTGGTAAGGACTACATGTTTTTTTTAATTATTTTTATTAGTTTTATTCATTTATATCATAAAATGTGAAAATAGAAAAGCAAATATTAGGGGACAACAATAGAAAAAGGGAAAGAAAAAAAGGTGTGAAGAAAGGGAGGGGAAGGAACAAAAGCCATTGACTTCCAACTCTCTCTGTTGCAGTAAAATCAGACATTAAAATCAAATCTCAACTTTTTACATTTCTATAGTAGTATGCAGTAGTTATTTTATCGGCAAATCAGTCCTATCAGTAAAACCCAAAATCATAATACTATTTTTTCCACCTCAAGCACAAAGTCCAAAAGTGGTTTCCAAGTAGAAGCAAAAGTACTTATGTTCTTTTCTTTTATCAGCACAGTCAATTTGGCTATCTCTGCTAATTCCATCAGCTTTTGTAAACCATTTATCCATGGTAGGAATCGAGGCATCCTTCCACTTTTGTGCATAGAGCAATCTTGCTGCCGTCACCATATATAAAATCAGAGTTCCAATTTTTTCTCCCAGTTCTCTTTCCGTTAGACCAAGAAGGAAAGTTTCTAGTTTAATCTTTATGTTTACTTTAAGGATTTTCTGCATTAATATATGAAATACTTCAATATTTCTTTGCCTTATCACATGTCCACCATCAATGATAAAATGTCCCTTCTTTACATTTACATCTCCAACATTCATTTGAAATACCTTTATACATTCTAGATAACTTGTCTAGTGTTAAATACCAGTGATACATCATTCTGTAAAATTTTTCTTTTAGGTTATAATTTAATGTGAATTCTAAGCCTTTTAGCCATATATTCTCCCATTGTTCAAACATCACATTATACCCAAAATTCCTTGCCCACTGTTTTACATGTTCATTTTCCAAATTCAATTTTAATAATGTTTTATAGACCTTGGTAATTATATGATCATCATTACCACATAGTAGGATTTCCAATTCATTTTTAGCAAACTCAAAACCATGGCCTTTTTTGTCTAGTTTAAATCTTTCCTTCATTTGTGGATATGTAAACCAGTGACAAGCGTGATCTTCTAATTCTAATTCTTCCCTAGACTTGATGGGGTCACCAGAATTGAAAGATACTATTTTATCATACGTCCACCAGTCCGGCTTCACCACCATTTCTTTTCT